ATTAGATTCTGCGACGCGAAAGGAATGGAATTTAAAAAATAGCGACGAAAAAAATCCGCCAGCGTACGATACCCTTAGTAATTTTCTCGATTCTCGCATTCTCGCCCTCGAAGACTGTAAACTCCCCACTCCTCTATCCGATAAAGCGTCAAAATCTGCAAATACGCTCAAAATAAGCAGTTCAACAGTGTCCGCCAACGCCTCATTGCAATGCTCTCTGTGTAAAACGAAACATTATTTTAACACATGTCCGCAGTTCACAAGTAAGAGTCCGAGTCAGCGTCGCGATTTGGTGAAACAAGATAAACGATGCTTTCATTGTTTGTGTAAAGGTCATGATGTTCACGCGTGTAAGAGTAAATATACGTGCTGACGTTGTCAGAAAAAGCATCACACGATGCTTCACGCAGATTCAGACTCTTATTTCAAGATCGAGAAGGTCAAGACGCCAAGCTCACCGCAGAATTCCGTGGAATCAAAACAAACCGAAGTCAATTCATTGTTTGCGTCTTCAAATGCTCGTCTTCGGTCTCATGTATTATTAGCAACAGCGCGAGTTCAAGTGAGCGCGTCATCTGGACATACCGTCAGCGTTCAAGCCTTGCTCGATCAAGGGTCAGAAATGACCTTTATTACCGAAAGGCTCGCTCAAGACTTAAAATTGAAGCGACTTCGAATGCCGATTTCAATTTCGGCCGTCGGAGGTGTAGACGCCGGAACGTACCGTCACGCCGCTCGAATAAAAATTTCTCCGCGTGATAAGTCGGCTCCGGCATTCTCGACAACGGCGTTAATATTAAAGACGTTAACGTCGTATTCACCCAAACGTGCTCCAGCAGATTCCGCAATCAACCACCTTTCAGATTTATCATGAGCCGACGACGATCCCATGAGTTCTAATCCTATTGATATTCTTATCGGGCGGATCTGTACGGTGAATTAATCTTAGAGGGAGTTCGCAAGTCAACGGTCGGGCGATCGATCGCTCAAAATACAGTTCTCGGCTGGGTAATATCCGGGCCCATAACTTCTTCTCTCGGTTCGGCTCATGATTCTTCGGTTGAGTCTGTTCAGCATCAACCATCAAGTAAAATTAACTCGTATCATTGTTGCAATCCTAGTTCGCTCGAGAAGGAGCTTCGTAAATTTTGGAAAGTGGAGGAGATTCCTCGATTGACTTCTCTCAATCCTGACGATGAAAAATGCGAGGAGCATTATCGCGTCACTTATTCACGAGATTCTGATGGAAGATACATCGTGCGCTTTCTATTTAAGGACGGGCCCCCAATAGACATTGGCGAATCGCGCGCTATTGCCGACAAATTTCTAAGAAGCCTTGCTCGACGATTTCAAGCTCATCCGGAGCAAAAAAGGGAGTACTCCGAATTTCTAGATGATTATGAAAATCTCGGACATATGAAAGAGGTATCAATCTCGAATTCAACGGAGACGCAATGCGTTTTCATTCCCCATCATCCCGTGATTCGAGAAAGTAGCGCGACTACTCGGTTACGCGTGGTTTTCAATGCGTCGAGCGTTACATCAAATGGATCATCGCTCAATGATCATTTGCTCGCAGGGCCCAAACTTCAAACGGAATTGCCAGCTGTAATCTGGCAGTGGCGAAAGTTCAAATATGTTTATACCGCGGATGTCACAAAAATGTATTGACAGATTCGTGTCGATGCACGTGACGCTAATTATCAGAGGATTCTTTGGAATTCTCATTCTTCAGATCCTCCGCGAGAGTTTTAACTGCTTTCGGTTACTTATGGAACGGCTTCCGCTCCATTCTTGGCTCTTCGCGTAATCAAGCAATTAGTCATTGACGAAGGTCATGACTTTCCCTTGGCTGTTCCAATTCTCAAGGATCAAATCTACGTCGATGACGTTCTGTTCGGCGGAGACGACAAAGATCTTCTCCGTCAAACACGCGATCAGTTTAAAGCGCTGCTACAGCGCGGCGGCTTCGAGTTGCAAAAGTGGGCAAGTAATTCATCGGAGCTGTTAGCCGACATCGATGTTGAAAATCGCGGTCTCGCGTGCAGTAAAATTCTGCAACTCGACGAAAAACTCAAAATTCTCGGAATCAGTTGTAGTCCATCCCAAGATCTCTTCCAATATCAAGTAACTCTCGCTAGTGAGACCCCCCGATCCAAACGGTCAATTCTGTCGACAATTACAAAATTATTTGATCCGCTCGGATGGGTCACGCTGGTTACAGTCACCGCAAAGATCTTCATGCAACAGTTGTGGAATCTTAAGCTCAATTGGGATGACGAAATTCCGCTGGAACAGTTCGCAAGATGGCAACTCATCTATGCTCAGCTGTCCGCTCTTAACGGATTACAGCTTTCGCGATGGTTAGGCCAAGACTCGGATGCAATGAAGTATGAAATACACGGCTTTGCCGATGTATCTTTTGTAGCTTATACCGCCGCAGTTTATCTCAAAGTCATCTCGACCTCCGGTCACGTTATAATATCATTATTAGCTGGCAAATCCAAGGTTGCCCCAATTAAACCTTTGAGTATTCCCCGATTAGAACTATCAGCCGCTGTTCTATTGGCGAAATTAATCGAATTTGTGCGAAAGGCTGTAAACATTCATACCGTCTCTTGTTATTGCTGGACTGATTCAACTGTTGTTCTCGCCTGGATTAACCAACATCCGTCAAAATGGAAAACGTTTGTCGCAAATCGCGTCACTGAGATTCAATCTCGCCTACCGAAAGCACAATGGTGTCATGTTCCAACATTCGATAACCCTGCGGATTGTGCTTCTGGAGGTTTACTCGGAAAAGAGCTACTGACGCATGATCTTTGGTGGAAGGACCCGACATGGCTTCAACTTCCTCGCGAGAATTGGCCGAGAAATCCCATCCCCGCACCCGCAGATTCTCTACTCGAAAAAAAAACCGACAGTAGTATTGCTTGCACTACCCCTGTCACTCTGGGATCTCGTCTCCCGGTTCTCAGAGTGGCAAAAATTAATTCGCGTCACTGCCTACATTATGAGATTTGTTAATCGGTGTCGGAGACTCAGAGTTAGGTCCACAGAGGTCCTTGGTAAAGAGATTGCGCTTTCCGCGCAAGAGTGTCGACTAGCACGAACGTTTTGGCTTAAGGCTATTCAGCGAGAATTATTTTTTAAAGAGATAACTACATTGCTTGATCGTAAAACTATCGCTCCTAAAAGCTCACTCCTTTCTCTCAATCCTTTCCTCGACCCGGATGATTTGCTGCGAGTTGGAGGACGATTGACAAACGCTCCAATCCTATTTGAAGTAAAGCATCCAATCGTGTTAGCGTCACACTCCTTAGTCACTCTTATCGTTCGACAAGCTCATATTCGCGCTCTCCACGCAGGCTTGCAGCTCACGCTCACCACGCTAAGGCAAAAATTTTGGATACTACGAGCTCGAAGTGTAGTGAGATCGATTATTCATAGGTGTGTCGTTTGCGCGCGCGAAAATGCGGCTGTCCCGCAACAACTAATGGGAGATCTCCCAGCGCTATGAGTATCTCCGCCAGCCCGTTGTTTTTTACATTGCGGTCTCGACTACGCGGGCCCTGTTCACATTCGAGCTTCCAGTGGACGCGGCATTAGTTCAAGAAAGGCGTATATCGCCTTGTTTGCTGCCTCGCGACTAGAGCCATTCATTTAGAGCTTGTCGGAAATTATTCTGCGTCAGCGTTTCTTGACGCTTATTCGCGTTTCTGCGCTCGTCGAGGATTGCCGGAGTTGATGCATTCTGACAACGGAACTACGTTTGTCGAAGCGGATAAAGAGTTAGCCGCATCGTATCAAGCCGCGTTACACAATCAGGATTTTCTCAATTCTACCGCGTCGGATGGTGTGACTTGGAATTTCTTTCCTCCTTCAGCGCATCATTTTGGAGGGTTGTGGGAGGCTGGCATGCGTAACGTTAAGCATCATCTCCGTCGTGTTCTTAAAAATCACAAGCTTACATTCAAGGAATTTACGACCCTCCTATGTAGAATCGAAGCATACTTAAATTCTCGTCCCCTCGCGCCCTTGACAGATTCTCTAGACGATTTTGAGATATTAACGCCTGGACATTTTTTAATTGGATCGTCATTAACAGTCAACCCGGAGCCATCATTATTAAAAATCAATGAAAATCGCCTCTCTCGATGGCAACGCGTTCGCCAAATAACTGAGCATTTTTGGAAGCTCTGGCAAAATGATTATGTCAACACTCTTCAACAACGCGTTAAATGGCAAAAGAAGCAATCGCCGGTCAAAATTGGACAGCTAGTTCTATTACGGAACATCACATTGCCGCCGTGTAAGTGGGAGCTCGGTCGATGTCACGATGGTTCCGACGGATTGACCCGCGTAGTAACAGTCAAGACAGCATCCTCCGAGTACAAACGGCCAATCGGGAAACTGCCTGCTTCCTATCGATTATGAGGATAAGTCACATTCAATGCAGAGCGGTTAGATATAAATTACTTCAGCTTAAGTTAAGTTTAATCGACGTATCGTTTAGTCATGCGTCCAATGTAAGTGCAATTCTTAAATAAGTTTAAGTATTCTAAGGAGCAATTAAATTTAAAGAGCCCCCCCCCCACCGAAATCGCACAGCGGACGGTCCGTGTAATCAAGATTGAATTCATTCAGATTCTCCGACATCGGGACTGAGTCATACCAAAGATAATGTATTCAGTTTATCAACAAGTAAGACCATTTTGGCTAACATGTAAATAAGTGCAACCAACAATTATTACCCCCAAACGTGCAAAGACTCCTTAAAATCTCTGTGCGATTCTATTTCGAAACTAACGTTTCGAAGCGGGCGGTATGTTAAAGATCAAGTTATCCGAAATATCGAAAAGTCGCGGGGTAACGAAAAGTCTTCGCACGAGCCTAATAAAGGACTCGATGACGTAGATCGACCCAGCTTAAATTATTCTGCGTCAGCGTTTCTTGACGCTTATTCGCGTTTCTGCGCTCGTCGAGGATTGCCGGAGTTGATGCATTCTGACAACGGAACTACGTTTGTCGAAGCGGATAAAGAGTTAGCCGCATCGTATCAAGCCGCGTTACACAATCAGGATTTTCTCAATTCTACCGCGTCGGATGGTGTGACTTGGAATTTCTTTCCTCCTTCAGCGCATCATTTTGGAGGGTTGTGGGAGGCTGGCATGCGTAACGTTAAGCATCATCTCCGTCGTGTTCTTAAAAATCACAAGCTTACATTCAAGGAATTTACGACCCTCCTATGTAGAATCGAAGCATACTTAAATTCTCGTCCCCTCGCGCCCTTGACAGATTCTCTAGACGATTTTGAGATATTAACGCCTGGACATTTTTTAATTGGATCGTCATTAACAGTCAACCCGGAGCCATCATTATTAAAAATCAATGAAAATCGCCTCTCTCGATGGCAACGCGTTCGCCAAATAACTGAGCATTTTTGGAAGCTCTGGCAAAATGATTATGTCAACACTCTTCAACAACGCGTTAAATGGCAAAAGAAGCAATCGCCGGTCAAAATTGGACAGCTAGTTCTATTACGGAACATCACATTGCCGCCGTGTAAGTGGGAGCTCGGTCGATGTCACGATGGTTCCGACGGATTGACCCGCGTAGTAACAGTCAAGACAGCATCCTCCGAGTACAAACGGCCAATCGGGAAACTGCCTGCTTCCTATCGATTATGAGGATAAGTCACATTCAATGCAGAGCGGTTAGATATAAATTACTTCAGCTTAAGTTAAGTTTAATCGACGTATCGTTTAGTCATGCGTCCAATGTAAGTGCAATTCTTAAATAAGTTTAAGTATTCTAAGGAGCAATTAAATTTAAAGAGCCCCCCCCCCACCGAAATCGCACAGCGGACGGTCCGTGTAATCAAGATTGAATTCATTCAGATTCTCCGACATCGGGACTGAGTCATACCAAAGATAATGTATTCAGTTTATCAACAAGTAAGACCATTTTGGCTAACATGTAAATAAGTGCAACCAACAATTATTACCCCCAAACGTGCAAAGACTCCTTAAAATCTCTGTGCGATTCTATTTCGAAACTAACGTTTCGAAGCGGGCGGTATGTTAAAGATCAAGTTATCCGAAATATCGAAAAGTCGCGGGGTAACGAAAAGTCTTCGCACGAGCCTAATAAAGGACTCGATGACGTAGATCGACCCAGCTTGCGAGAGGAATCGCCGTAGCCAATTATCGATTCCGACGTCACTCGTAGAGCACGCGCACATTATTCGATCGCAATAATGAGGCGATCGCGCAACGCCGCGAATCAACGGATCAATCAAATCGCTCTGCGTCGATCAAACCCCCTCCCCCCCTCCCCGTCGCAGGAGAGACTTGCGTTGTGAAGATGATCGATTACACAGACGACTCTCGGAGCTTCAGCCCGCATATTCAAGTTAGTTTTTTCGGAGCACTCTTCCAAGTTTAGTCGGTCGTGCCTGAATCGAAAGCGACCATCGTCCAATTTCTAAATCTACGTGTTAGATCACAGTAAAAGGACAGCAATTTTAAGTTCTCTACATCCTGAGAGGTTTCGCAATCGCGCTGAAGAGCCGGCGAAGGAGCGCTCGAGGCAAGATCCGGCCATCTTGGCCATTTCGCGGACCGCGTGGCAATCGATTCGGATCCTTCCGCAACAAAATCAATATCTCAAGGTCTAAGGCCTTGTTATCAGAAAGCTCAAAGTGAGATCGAAACGGCGCGGCGACGGCGCGGGAGGATGCAGAAATTGCATTCGTTGAAATAATTAACCAGTGCGGTGTGTTCCTGTGAATTTATCCGCCCATCTAGTTGCGCGCAAGATTCTCCGTGATAACGCATGCAAGATATCTGTGCAAAACCGTTTCTGCGTTCATTTTATTCTTCAATCGTCAATTTCGATCATTATGTAATATCGATTGTGATAAATAGTGAAATTGTGAACAAAATTTAGAAGGTACTCCAAGTTGTTTTTTGGAACCGAAAACCTTGAGTGTTCCTCCGGATTCATCATCTTCCGAATTCCATTTCCGTCTCCTTTCATACATTCTCGCGTTCGCTTCGTGTCCCATGCGGGACGGTCCCGGCAACAGAGGTTTCGTACCCGCGGATCCGTCCGGTCGCATTCGAAACATAAACATATATTTTTATTCTCTTTTATTCTTCTTTTTTCCTCTTTCTTATCCCAGTATGCGAGTATTAAATTTCAGTACGTGATGTTAAATTGTGGCGTCAGCCGTTCGATAGCCGTTCAAAGCTGTTCGATAGTCGTTCGATAGCTGTTCGATAGTCGTTCAATAGTCGTTTATAGCCGTTCGATTACCGTTCGATAGCCGTTCAAAGCCGTTCAAAAGACGTTCATAGCCGTTCAATGGCCGTTCGATAGCCGTTCGATAGCTGTTCAAAGCCGTTCGATAGTCGTTCAATAGTCGTTCATAACCGTTCAATTGCCGTTCGATAGCCGTTCGATAGCCGTTCAAAGCTGTTCAATACCCGTTCGATAGCTGTTCGATAGTCGTTCAATAGTCGTTTATAGCCGTTCGATTACCGTTCGATAGCCGTTCAAAGCCGTTCAAAAGACGTTCATAGCCGTTCAATGGCCGTTCGATAGCCGTTCGATAGCTGTTCGATAGCCGTTTGATAGCCGTTCGAAAGCTGTTCGATAGCTGTTCGATAGTTGTTCAAAGTGGTTCAATGGCTGTTCGATAGCTGTTCGATAGCCGTTCGATAGCTGTTCAAAGCCGTTCGATAGTCGTTCAATAGTCGTTTATAGCCGTTCGATTACCGTTCGATAGCCGTTCAAAGCCGTTCAAAAGACGTTCATAGCCGTTCAATGGCCGTTCGATAGCCGTTCGATAGCTGTTCAAAACTGTTCGACAGCCGTTCCATAACTATTCAAAGCTGCTCGATAGCCGTTCGATAACTGTCCAAAGCTATTCGACAGCTGTTCAAAGCTGTTCGATAGCTGTTCGATAGCCGTTCGATAGCTGTTCAAAACTGTTCGACAGCCGTTCCATAACTATTCAAAGCTGCTCGATAGCCGTTCGATAACTGTCCAAAGCTATTCGACAGCTGTTCAAAGCTGTTCGATAGCTGTTCGATAGCCGTTCAATAGCCGTTAGATAACCGTTCGATAGCTGTTTTCATATTATAATAATATATTATTCATAGTTAAAAGACTTGTAGATAATTGTCCGCGGTAACATGCTAACTTTTGTCTTCTTATCATCTG